AGGCTATTGTGCCGGGCCCCATCATCAATATTCTTATATATTCAAATAAATATTTGTTTTTATTGGAAAAGCAGGGTTACAAAGAGAGAGATCTTGCATCTGCTGTTTCATTGCACAATTGGCTGCAATGGCTAGAGTTGTGCTAAGCTGAAACTGGGAACCAAGAGCTTTCTCTCAATTTTCCATGTGGGTGCAGGGGTCCAAACACGTGGGCCATCTTCCATTGCTTTTCCAAGCTGTTAGCAGGGAGCGGGATGGGAAGTGGAGCAGCCAGGATTCGAACCCATGTGCCAGGGTTGCAGGTGGTAGCTTTCCTTGCTACACCATAGTGCCAGCCCCTACAGTATCATTCCTAAAAGGACCCATCTGTTGTTCACTGCCTCCACCCCAAACTGGTGCTGCGTAAAACGCAGTTCTGTGTGTGTGTGTGTGTGTGTGTGTGTGTGTGTGTGTGTGTGTGTCTTCTGTGACCATGAATGGTCAGGGGACTTCAAGCTTTGAGAAGGCTGCTGCATGGGGCCAGCCTGGCGCCCACGCGGCCACCTACATGACCGTGAGGAATCCCTTATCAGCAGCCCCAAGTGGCCATCCTGCAATTTTCCTTGGCTCACAGGTCAGCTGCTGTCTTCATTTGCATGACCTCAAGTTCTGGCTGTCACCCGTGCACCAGGGCGTGGGTGTAGGTCCCGGTGCCCGTTTCTGGGCCCCTCCTGGCGCCCTCTCTCCATCTTGCAGGAGGTGGGAGGGAAACCCAAGGCTGCAGGCTCCTAGCGGCACCTGCTGCGTGCAGCGTTGGGCGGCAGCGCCACCGCGCGGCCGCCGGAGACACGGGGACCCCGGGAGTGCGAGTGGGAGACGTCGCCCTGCCTTCCCGGGTGAGTCCAGAGCCACCCACCCGGCACCTGTGCACCCGAATCGTCCCAGACATTTCATGAACGCAAGCAGCCGGAGCGAGTCACGCCCAGCCAGGAGTGGGGAGCTCCGTGGGGGCCTCTCCCGTAGGTGGCAGGACCCGACTCCTCGGGCCCCCTGCTGCCTCTTGGGGTCGGCTCATCTTGGCAGGAAGCTGGATTCAATGGTTCCTAACTGGGTGCCAACTGCTTGCTCCTGTAGCGTGTGTGTGTGTTTCATGGACCTGTTGGAAAGGCAGTTACAGAGCGAAGGAGAGCCAGAGATCTTCCCAAATGGCCACAGTGACCAGAGCTCAGATAGCCCTCAGCCAGGAGCCTCTTCCGGCTCTTCCATGCGGCTACAGGATCCCAAGGACTCGCGCCTTGCTCAGCTGCTTTCTGAGACCACAAGCAGGGAGCTGGATGGAAGTGGAGCATCCAGAACTAGAACCAGTGCCTTTGTGGGATGCTGGTGTTCTCTGGCAGCCCCTGTGCCGGTGTGAGTTATTTATTGCATTTAATCTCCTAGGGTAGAATTATGAGACCGTCTTTAAAACATATTTGTTTATTTATTTGGAAGACAGACAGAGCCATCTTGAATCCATAGGTTTTCTCCCTCCTCCCTAATACTCCCAAGAGTCAGGCCTGAGCCAGGCGCTGGTCGCCCAGGTGAGTGGAAGTGACCCTGGCAGTCATCACTCCTGCCTCCCAGGTGCTCCTGAGCAGGTGGCGGGGGACAGGAGTGCAGCGGGACTGGGGCCCAGTTAATGATACAGGGTGCTAGGGTGTCGTGTTCCCCCAGGGGGCCGGAGCACGGAGTCTCCCTCTCTCGGAGTCCTCTCTCTCAAAGTTAGTCCGTCTCTGCCTTTAAAAATCTCTCCCAGGAGCCCCTTTTTTCTCTCTCCTCCTCGTTCCCTCCGCCTTCATTCTTCTCTTCTCCCAGCCTCCCCACACCACCGTCTTCCCCCACTGGCCTTGGCCCCCGCAGCCCTGCAGGCAGAGGCTCCGACAGCTACCCCATGCCCCCTATCCTGCCCTAGCCTGAACCCCTGACCGCAGGGACCACGTTGAACCCAGCCAACCTCCCTGGCACTGCCGTGTCACCTGCCTGGCCATCCTCCTGGGGTTGCTGTCAGGACAGGGAGAGGCAGGCACGCCATGAACGCAGCACGGGGTGGAGGGGGTCTGGCGCTTGCTAATAGCAGCTGTGTCATCATCTTTCTCATCATTACTCAGAAGCGCGAACCCACAGCGGCCTCTCCTCTCCGCAGCCAACAATTAGATGCTTATCTAGCCAGCGGAATGCACTGGGTGGGGACCCCTCCACCTACGAAATGGGGGGCCACTCCCTGGCCAGGGTTGCCAGCCAGGACCAGCCCTCTGTCATGAGAGCAGGGCTGGGTGGAGGATGTACCGCCAGCTCTGTCGGCCGCACCTGCTGGCACTTCCCACCCTTCCCGGGAGCCTCTCTGAGATTCCCCCCATCTCCAGGCACCCAGCTGTGCCTCTGGGCCCCATCTGTGCTCAGCCACCTGCCAGTTACCACAGGCACCGGCCACAGAGGATCTCCACGGAGACAGTACCCTCCCTCCTATCCCTGGTAAGGCCCACAGGAGGCACAGCCTCGGACGTGTTGCCTTGCAGGTGTGGGAGGATTCCGTAGGGCTGCGTGGCCAGAGGAGAAGGCCGAGTCACAGAGGGCGTATGCGGATGTGCTGTGGTGAGACAACCACGCCGGCCTTCCTATCCCACGGGAATGTCCTCGGGGCCCTCGACCCTCTCCCCAGCTGGTGGCATCAAGCCATCTCATGGCCCAGGACCCATTTTGCCCACTGCTGAAGCCCACGCACCTCGCAGGGCCCTGTGAGTGCTGGCCTGTGTCCAGCCGACGCCCACTCATGGCCGTGCTACCTGTTGCCAGCCCCCAGCTCTCCTTCCGACGTAACTTTGCTAATTCGTGTGCTTTCTCGTGATTCGTGCTGTTGGAATCTTCAGAAGTCCCGGGGAGCAACGGGCAGGAGACACTGTGGCATTGTGGGTCAAGCTTGACTGCTGTACAAGGCCAGGGTCCTTGGATGCCATGCGGGAGACTCGGGGCAGCTCCTGCCTCCTGGCTCTGGACTGGCCGTGCCCTGGTGGCCATTTGGGGGCGCAAACAAGCTGACAGATCTGTCTCCCCATCTCTTCCTTTCCCTGTGTAACTGACTTCTTTTTCCAATAAATCAATTCTGTTTTCTTTTCTTAAAGAAGCCCTTCCCTTCACCTTCCTCTGTCACTGTCTGGGTTGACCCTCCATCCGCTGAGTCCCCCTCCCCTTGCCTGGGGTCACGCAGGGACCAGGCTTAATCCTCTGTGTCCACTGCAGTGGCTTCCCTGCCAGCGTGTGCCAGCTAACTGTAATATATCAGCTCCCTGTATGTTGTTCCCATTCCCCTCCCCCTGCTGGTCCCACCCCTCTACCATGCTGGCATTCCGGGACCCCAGCCCCTCCCCCTACTCTTGCCGTGATTTCCGGGGAACGTGAGAACCCCTGCACCCCTCAGTGGGGACCGTGCACAGCACCTCTGTCCTCCTGGTGCCAGTGGTGAGCTCTGAGCCGGAGGAGGTCCACTCGGAGCTGGGGGGGAAGAGAAAGTCAAGATCGCTCATAAAATCTGCATGGTGTCCTAAGGGCGGAGCCCACTTTCTGGAAACTTCTTTCTCTTGCAGCATTTCCTCTCTGTTGCAAACCTGCCTGGGTACTCCTGGGCGAATCCATGAGACGGCTCCTTTCCATCCCAGCCCCATTGTGTGGCTCTCGGCGGCCGGTCCAGTTTGTGGCTGGTCCAGTTTGTGGCAGCCGTGTTTGCAAAGCAGGGGGATAGAGAAGACTCCCAAGCACCCGAGAATAACCCCCAGAAGCTCCTGCTGTTTCCTCCTAGCCTTTCTGCCCAGTGGTGGGCCACGTGGCCCCTCAGAGGCACCCAGCGCCCGTGCCAGCCCAGGCAGTGGTTGGACTTGCCTGGAGAGTCTGTCTCCACCAGACTTGGGTTATCCTGTGGCATGTCGGATCAGCTCAGAAAGTGCCAACCTCTGCCTCGTGGCCTGCACACCAGCCCCCCTCCTCCCTGCTCCTTGAGCTTGAACCTGACCTGCATGACATCTGGACTCTGCCCTCAGCCCGAGCCAGCTTGGGAACGGGGCTCGCCTCTCTGGTGGGTGGGCAGTGAAACACGCCGCTTCTCCCCAGCTCCTCACTGAGGTCATGGCAGAGTTCCTGACGGCATGGAACGTCTACGGCTGTAAGAGACTGGAGAGCTCAGCCTTGTGGCGTAGTGGGTAATGCCACCTCCTGTGACACTGGCATTCCATATGGACACTGGTTCGAATCCTGACTGCTCTACTTCCCATCCAGCTCTCTGCTTGTGGCCTGGAAAGCAGTGGAGGACAGCCCAAAGCCTTGGGGCCCTGCACCTGCGTGGGAGACCCAGAAGAGGCTCCTGGCTCCAGATCAGCTCAGCTCTGGCTGCTATGGCTGCTTGGGGAGTGAACCAGCAGATGGAAGATCTTCCTCTCTGCCTCTCCTCCTCTCTGTATATCTGACTTTCCAGTAAAAATAAATAAATCTATTTTTTAAGAGCCTGAAGGTAGGCCACTGCCACTCTGTCCCTCGCTGTTCCACACTGTTACCATGTGCCTTGCCGCCACCTCACCCTGTCTTCTGGCTGCTGCCTGAGCTCCCAGAGCAGGTGCTTCTGCTCTCTGTTCTGCCCCTTGCGGTCTCCCGGGGCCCCTCCCGCTACCCACCAGCCGCCTATGGAGATGACACGGGCAGCTCGCCTGAGTGACCCCCATATCCACAGCTGCAGGGAGAAGGCGCACACACAGCCAGCCTCGCATCTCTCAGCAGCTTTATTTCTGAGGCTAAGTGTGGGACCAGCACAGTAGAACGGAGATGTAGCCCCCTGCGTGATCTGCAGCACCCTAGGAGACGTCCTGGAGGTGGGGGCTGGAGAGGCCCCCCACGGGAGGGGTTGGGCTTGGGTCCCTTCAGGAGTGGGAGCTGGAGGGAGGACCCCGCCGTTGGAGAAGATGGGGCTGGGTCCCTGCAGGGGTGCGGGGACGCAGGTGTCAGTTGGAGCGAATGGTGTCCTGGATCCACTTGGTGAAGTTGCACAGGTTGGTGTAGACGCCCGGGCGGTTAGGCTGGGCACAAGGGTAGTCGCCCCAGGACACGAGGCCCTGCAGGGCCCCGTCGCATACCACGGGACCCCCAGAGTCACCCTGGCAGAGAGAGAGAGGCAGAGAGGCGTGGTGAGTGCAGGCCCAGCAGGAGGCGGACGCTCCAGGGGGGGACCTCTCCCCCTCCCCAGCCCCCAGAGACCACAGGGTGGGAGACGGGCGGGGGCGAGGTGGTCCGTGGCTCCAGCCCCGGGGCCTCTCAGCCAGCCTCCCGCCCTCTCGTGTGACATCATGGTTCCCTGCCTCAGAGTTCCTCGTGGAGCGTGTCTTTCCCTGGTCAGCGGTCTCTGTCCCCTGCGGCCTTTGCAGGTCCTCCTGGACCCCCTCCCGCATCCTGGACCCCCTCCCGTATCCTGGACCCCCTCCCGTATCCTGGACCCCTACACCTCCATCTCCCTCCGTGTCAACACTCACCCTCCCCTCGATCACCTGCTACTCATGTTCACGCGAAATACAGAGGTGTGTGGTTATGTAAAACATGAACGTAGATTCACATGTTGATGCAAAATATGGAGGTTGATTTGCATGTTTATGCAAATGATGCAGACTCAGCCAGTCTTAATTCCAGGGTCTCCTGGGGTCTGACTTCATCTTCCTGCCCGGGCAGACACATGCTGCGTGGCCACCAGACCCTCCGAAAAGCCACTTCCCTGAAGGTTCATCTGTCTTAGTTTTGTTGGTTGTCGGAGGCTTTTTTAAAATTTTATCATCAGACGGGTCATGGGTTAACTGCCCTGAGCCTGGGTTTCCTGTCCACGCTGCAGGATTAATGATGACACTGAAGGCGGTTAAGGAGGCCATGCAGGGCCCGGACCCGCCACGGCACCTGACGGAGCCCGGAGGCCTTGGGAGCCTCGTGCTGTGAGCACAGGGCTGCTGTGGCTTTCCAGCGCTCACACCCACGTGCACGGTGGTGGGGACAAGTGCATCTGGGGTGGCCAAACCAGCTACTAGCCAGCTCAGGCTACAGAGGGGAAAAGCTCAATGCCGGAAACTTCTGGAACCTGACTGGGCTGCCCATTTGTTTCACACGAGTCCTGACACCTGAATGTTTCTAAGTGGGCACCGGCAGAAGTTAGGATGGGAAAGTGGGGGTTCTGATGTCTGTCTGTGTGGGTGCAAGCCACTGGCGCTAGGCAGGCCCGGCTCTGCCAGGTCTTCCCTTCGGGCATCGCGGGTCCTCCTGTTGGACGTCCCCTGTCTCAGGCGCTCCTAGTCCATGCGTCTGGACAAATGCCCGGCCACTTCCAGCCTCGCCCCTCTCTGAATCGCTCCTGCCTGCAGAATTCCTCCCCTTCCTCCTGTTTTGTTTGTTTTATGTCTCCAGTCCATCTAATGCCTTTCTAACCTAGCTCCCGCAGGGTGCAGCCCTCCTGAAAAAAAAAAATGCCCTGTGTCGGGATAGTTTGCAGGTTTCCTCAGAATACGACACTTCCCGTGCCTGCACATGGTGGTCAGACAAGATGATATGAGTGCCATGGAGGGTGCCCCTCAGCTATGCCGCGATCACGCAGTGCCCAGCCTGCCCAACCACCACCAGCAGCCGCATCTCTCCTTCGAGGCGTGTGGTTCCCACGTTCCCGGGGCTGGGACTGGGGTGAGTGACCCTGGAACCCCTAATGCCTTACTGGAGTACCAGTTCGAGTCCAGGAGGTTTTGGAAGTAACTTTCTGTGAATACTCCCGCTGGAAGACGCCGGAAAGCGACCCACGTGCTTCTGGGAGACCCAGATGGAGTCCCTGGGCCCTGGCCTCAGCTGCACCGCGCCCTGGTTCTCGTGGGCACTTGGGGAGTGACCCGGTGGGCAGAAATCTCTCACTCTCCAGTCCTCGTTCTATTTTTCAAGTTGCTAAATCTTAAAGCGAGTCTTGTGTAGCACCTGGTTTGCTTGTCCTTTAGAGTTTTGTTTATATACGTATGCGAGGACTGCTGTCTGCTGGTTCCCTCGCTGCATGGCCGGATGCCAGGAGTGCCAGCCAGGTCTCCCACAGGGTGGCAGGGACCTGAGTGTTTGAGCCATGGCCTGCCTGCCGCCCGCAAGGTGCCTGTTAGCAGGCAGCAGGGAGTGGAACCAGGTCCTGAACCCAGGCGCTCTGCTGTGGGAGACACGGGCCCCAGGGGAGGCTTAAACTGCTGTGCCTGCTGCACCTGTGTGGGCCTGCCTTGGCATTCCAGGTGACTGGGGGGTGGGTGGTCCACATGCTGCACCAAGGGAAGCATCCGGAAGCTTCCGGAAACCTCACCTGGCAGGAGTCTCTGCCCTCCTCGTCGCCGGCACAGAACATGGTGCAGTCTATCTGCTGGGGGTAGGCGTCCCTGCACCGCTCCTCGCTCAGCACGGTGATATTCAAGCACTGCAGGGCCTTGGGGAAGGCGTCTGTGAGATGGGATGACAGTGAGAGGCAGAGAGAGCCAGGGAGGGCGGTGGGGACGGGGTGGGCACGAGGCGCAGGGGCACTCACGCTGGGCGTTGCTGGTGGTGCCCCAGCCCGACACGGTGCAGCGGGTCCCGGCGGTGGGACAGTGGGACGCGATGCGGATGGGTCTGACCTTATGGCTCTCCCGCACCTTGCGGTTCAGCTTGATGAGCATGAGGTCATTGGAGTGGCCGGGGTGGGCGTAGCCGGGGTGGGGGATGGACTTGATCCCCCTGAGCATCTGCTGGCCCGACTCGTAGACGGGGGACATGGAGTGGTGGCCCAGCCGGACCCGGAAGACACTGGGGGAGAAGGTGCAGCCCCTGGGTCTGCGGCCAGCCTCGCTGCCCGCTCCCCATGCCCATTCCATCCCTGCCTCACCCCAGACTCGTCCCAGCCCCCATCTTCGCTTCCACCACACCCAGTTCTAATTCCACCTCTGTGCCAAGCACAGCCCCATATCCAGCCCAACACTAACCCTCACGCCACCTCTCAGTCACCAACATCCGCTCCCCGCAAACCCACCCCTCACCTCCATGCCCACCCCACCCACCCCAAATCCAGCCATCTCTACCCTCTCTGACCCCTTCGTTTCCACATTTTTACTTCAAGTCCCCACACCCAGGGCCATCTTCCTGTCCACATCACCTCCAAGTGCAAAGTCAGTCAAAATCCCACTGCACCCCAAACCTTGGGATCTACTCTAGCGGCCCCCATACCCATCCTGCATCCTTAGTCCCCCCCCCAGGTCCCCTCCTCTCCCAGCTCCAGGCCGCCCCCGCCCAGCAGTCCCACTCACGGCTTCCGGCAGTGCGCGGCCGTGAGCAGCCACTGTGGGTCCACCAGCACCGCCCCGCAGTACAGCTGGTTGGGTCCCAGCAGCAGCGCGCCCTGCCACGGCTGTGTGTCCCGCTCGCAGTCCGACCCGTTCACGATGCGGCTGCTGCTGCCGCCGTCGGACCGGCTGCTCTCCCCGGGGCCCGAACCCAGGTCCCGGGTGCTCCCCGAGGGGTTGTCGCAGGAAGTGTCGTTTGCAAGAACAGGCTCTGGTGGGGGAGGGGAGAGGCGGTGGGCGGGGCGCTGGGGCGGGGCGTGGGCGAGGGGCGGAGCTTGGGCGAGGAGTGAGGCCAATCAGAGGAGGGCTGAGCCTCGGAGGGGGCGGGGCCGGCGCTTTGGGAGGGGCCTGGGTTTGGAGGCGGGGCCTGGGGTTTGGAGGCGGGGCCTGGGTTTGGAGGCGGGGCCTGGAGAAAGGCCGCCAAGTCGCTCCCGAAGGAGCCGCCAGGCCGCGCGTGCCCAGAGCGGGAGACGGGATTCTGGATGAACCGGAAGGGTTCGTGGGATGGGCCAAAGGAGAGCAGAATTGGGTACAGGAGCCCTAGGCAAGCCCAGGGAGGCAGTGTACGACCCTCAAAGCAGGGTCAGCGCTCCATGGGTGGGGTCAAGCCTGGAAGCTGCAGAGCCTGAGGGGTAGGGAGAGGTCAGTCCTACAAGGAGACCTAGAAAGAGACCCCGCTTGGGAAAGGGCGGTGGGGCCTGCCTGGCGTCCCTGACAGGAGAGCATCTGGCGAGGGAAAGGGCTCAGCAGGGCTGGCTCTCCCACACAAATGTGCGCCCTGAAGCCCCCTACCCCCTGGTCCTCTCCCATCAGACCTCAGACGGACATGCCCTGCGCCCTCAACCATGTGGGTGAGCGCGGCCACACACACACCGCAACACTGGCAGTGCCCTCACACTCACGCACCCTTCACAGTCACACACTCACGCATCCCCGGTACTGCCCCTTACCTGCAGCCCCCACAATCAAGGCTGTGATGAGGGCTCCGAGCATCCACGCCCAGGGGGCTCCTGCAGAAACCATGGCCGCTACACCTGTGGGGAGAGTCAGGGGATGGGGAGGCCTTAACCCCTGGTAAACCCTTAACCCCCTCCTCTCCCCTGCACCCATGACATGGCCCCTCACCAGTGTTAACTGTGGCCCAGGGAGGCCTCCCTGAGGTCCACGCGAGGAAGGAGGACAGAGAGGGACCAGGGACACTTCTTGCTCGCCCCCTCTTCCCTTCTCCGGTCTCACCTGCTGCGTTCCCCCTGGCAGGGGTCTGGGGGACCCGCTCCCTGCTCGGCCAGACACACGCTTCTGAGGTCCTTGCCTGCCGCCTGCCGCCTCCCGGGCTCTGGGCACCAGGCCTGGGTTATAACCACCCACTGGTCCCTGGGGCACATTCCCAGGGAGTGAGGCGCCCTGTCTATCGGGCCCTACCAACCGCTCCTCCTGCCGCCCCCCACCTCCACCCCCGGAGCTCCCCCCACGCCCAGTTCCCAATGCCACTCCCTCCCTCCCTGGCCGTGGGCATGGGGAGGGTCTGCAGAGGCGAGCCTCCACCACGAGCCTCTCTCCATGGGTATTTCTTCCTGCTGTTGGGCCTCTTGGTCCTTCTCATGCTCCGACCTTTCCGGTCAAGACCCTCTGGTTCTCCCTCTCCTCCTCACCTCCCTTGCGGCTGTTCCCTGCCCCTTCACCTGTGCTATATTCATCTGACCCTCGTGCTGCCTTGTGTCTGCCCAAGTCTTTTTGGACGTGACCAAGGTGCTATAAACAGCACCTGTTACGGCAGCCAGGTTGCTGAGGTCCCCGGCAAAGGGCTGCCAGCTGCGACCCCAGGCCCCGCCAGCCCCTGTGTCAGCCTGTCTCCTCTGTGCCTCCTGCATCGTTTAATCTGCTCCCTTCTCATCAACGCCGCATCTCCCTGTCTCTCCAGCTCCCTCGCCCAACTCCTCCCACCCCCACCCTGGGGCCCATGGGATCCAGTCCGGGGGTCCCCTGCAGGTGCTTGGCCTGCCCTCCCACAGGCAGGTGTGGGCGTGGAGGAGAGAACTGGGCAGGTCCATCTGTCAGTAGGAAAAGAGGTCAAGAGGCCAGGAGATGGGACGGGCAGGTCCTGGCTGGGAAGTGGGGCGCTGGGTGGGAGCCCAGAAAGTGGCTCCTCCCCACCCAGTTCTGGGCTGTCTGAGTGGCCTGGCTAGGTCCCTTTTCCACAGGCTCTCCCTTCTATCTGTCCACCCCGCCCCTTGCATCCTCCCCCTTGTTCCTTCTCTGCACCTGTCTCTGACTTTGTCTCCCCGTCCGAGCCCACTGCCTGCTTAGTGGAAGGCGTCACTGTCCTAGAGTCTGGCTTTAGCACACAGGAAAAAGGAAAAATCCCAAACACTGGCCTGCGACATGGTGCAGTGGGTTAAGCTGCTGTCTGGCTTTGCTGGCCTCCCACATGGGCACGGCTTGAGTCCTGGTTGTCCCACTCCGGATCCAGTTCCCTGCTTGTGGCTTGCGAAAGCAGTGGAGAATGGACCAAGGCCTTGAGTTCCTGCTCTCACGTGGGAGACTGGGAAGAAGCCCCTGGCTCCTGGCTTCAGATCAGCTCAGCTCTAGCTATTGCAACTATTTGGGGAGTGAACCAGGGGATAAAAGAGCTTTGTCTTTTCTTTCTCTGTAACTCTGACTTTTGAGAAAAATAATTTTTTTTTTTTTGGAAAAATCTACTTAGATTAATATTTCGTTAATTAATTCATTGTTATTAGAAAGGCAGATTTGCAGAGAAGAGATACAGAAGGGTCTTCCATCCATTGGTTCACTCCCTAAGTGGCCACAATAAGTGGAGCTGAGCCATCTGAAGCCAAGAGCTTCTTCTGGATCTCCCACGCAGGTGCAGGGTCCCAAGGGCTTTGGGCCGTCCTTGACTGCTTTCCCAGGCCAGAGGCAGGGAGCTGGATGGGAAGTGGAGCAGCTGGGACACAAACTGGTGCCCATGTGGGACAACAATGTTGCAGGCAGAGGCTTAGCCCACTGTGGCATAGCATGGACCTCCAGCAGGGCTTTCTCACAGGTGTCCCCATGCTGATTAAACTCAATTACACATCTGACAAATGACAGTAAGTTGCATGTTTCAAGCTGAAGTCCAGGACTGTGCTCGGGTGTCAAATATTCAGACACACAAGTCTGATGGCAGATTTTTTTTTTTTTTAAGATTTACTATTTTTATTGGAAAGACAGATCAGATATACAAAGAGTTGGAGTGAGAAAGATCTATCCACTGGTTCACTCCCCAAATGGTTGCAATGGCCAGAGCTGAGCTGATCTGAAGCCAGGAGCAAGGAGCTTTTTCCGTGTCTCCCAGATGGATACAGGGTCCCAAGGCTTTGGGCTGTCCTTGACTGTTTTCCCCGGCCACAGGCAGGGAGTTGGATGGGAAGTGGGGCAGCCAGGGCACGAACTGGAGCCCATATGGAATGCTGGTGCTTGGAGGTGGAAGACTAGCCAATTGAGCCAACATTCCTGCCCCAAAGATTTTTTTAAATTATTGTTATTAACCACAAATTATTTTTAAGAAAATAACCCCCCCAGTGCACCCCAAGTCTGGGCTCTTAAAGGTGTCTGTGCCCCATTCTAACACAGCAGGAGTGAAAATAGACTTTGACCTGGAGGTGTGAGCAGGGGCCCACCTGGAGCCTCTCTCAGGGGCCGGAGTGCTGGCTGGGCTTCAGCCACTCCACAGGCCCTCAGTGGGGCCGTCTGTGAAATGGGAAGCAGAGACTTGCCTGGGGACCATGGGAGTGAAATGCCAGTGGCCTTCCTGGAGGTCACGGAACACGAGGAAATCAGCGTGTAGGGAGGTTTCATGACAAGGTCTGGGTCTGCCCCCGTGTCTCCAGGTGCCTGCCCACACTCCCATGTTGCCCAGCACTGGGCCTGGCACTCTGCGTGTTTAAGGTTATGTTGTCCTTAGCGTTGCCATGATGGTTCTTGTTGAGCAGCTGCCTCTCCAGTGGCTGCGGAGCGTTGATCTTGGCCTGCAGAACCGTCCCTGGCTGGGCTCCACTTGCCCGCCTTGGCGAGCAGCCGGGCTCTGTTTATCATTCATGATTTCTGGGGAAGGCTGGCCCAGGCCAAGTCAGGCCACACCTACGGCTTCTCATCACAGCCACTGCCTCCTCCCAGCACTGGCTGCATTCCCATGATGTGATTTTTAGAAAGATTTGTTTATTTTTATTGGAAAGGCAGATGTACAGAGAGAAGCAGACACAGAGAGGAAGATCTTCCGTCTGCTGGTTCACTCCCTAAGTGGCGGCAACGGCCGGAGCTGAGCCAATCCGGTGCCAGGAGCCAGGAGCTTCTTCTAGGTCTCCCACGTGGGTGCAGGGTCACAAGGTTTTGGGACAGCCTTGACTACCTTCCCAGACCACAAGCAGGGAGCTGGATGGAAGCAGGGCCGCTGGGATACGAACCAGCGTCTATGTGGGATCCTGGTGCACTCAAGGTGAGGACTTCAGCCACTGAACTAGCACGTCAAGCTCAAGGTTTTTTTTTAAAGATTTCTTAATTTTTATTTGAAAAGCTGATTTACATGCCTGGCACTGTGGCCTAGTGGCTAGAGTCTTCTCCTTGAATGTACCAGTATCCCATATGGGTGCCAGTCCTAATCCGGGCAGCCCCACTTCCCACCCAGCTCCCTGCTTGTGGCCTGGGAAAGCAGTCGAGGACAGCCCAAAGCCTTGGGACCCTGCACCTGCGTGGGAGACCTGGAAGAGGTTCCTGGCTCCTGGCTTCAGATTGGCTCAGCGCCAGCCATTGCAGTCATTTGGGGAGTGAATCATCTGATGAAAGATGTATTTTATTTTTATTGCAAAGTCAGATATAGGAGGAGGAGAAGCAGAGAGAAAGATCTTCCATCTGATGATGGTGCAGCGTGCAAGCACTCGGACCAGCCTCCATTGCTTTTCCAGGGGCGTGGGGAGGGAGCTGAATGGGAAGCAGAGCAGCCCACTTGCGTGCCAGCACTGTAAGTGGCGGCCTGACTCACTGAGCTGCAACGCTGGCTCCTTCTTGGTTCTCAAGGTCTTTCCACGTCCAGTCCAAGTCTCAGCACCAGCTCCCGCACCGCCTTCCACTGGGGTTCAGCATCCCACACCGCCTTCCGCTGGAGTACTGGGTCCCTGTAACACCTTCCATTGGGGTTCAGGGTCTTGCACCTCCATCCGCTGCAGCCACATCCAGTTCCAGCTGTGTGGCCTGCTGCTCCTGTTCTGAACCCAGTCCTCCGGTGGCCAGGACAACATGCACAGGTGTCCTCCCGTCACGCGTCAGACCCTGGCTGTGCCTGCGCCATGTCCAGCCTTCTGCTCCGGCGCTCCTGGCTTCAGCCCCGGCTCAGCCCCACACCGTCACCTCAACCTCCTGTGTGGCCCTTGGCTCTAGCCTCTCACCCCTGCCGGTCCCAGAGCTGCTCATCAGCTTGCCAAGACTCCCCAGTGCCCTCAGGGGAGAGTCCAGCTCTCCTGCCGCTGTCCCAGGTCCCTGGAGACCCTCCCCTGCCAAGCTGGTCTTTCTCACCTCCTGCCACCCCTGCTGTCCATACAGGGCCCCCCATCCCTTTCACCTCCCACTTTTGGCTGCCACAAAGGGAGGAGAGCCAGGTCACTGAGCGAGCGAAGGTGGGGGTGTCGATTGGAGGGACTGGTTTTGTGGTGTAGTGGTGCAGTGGTGCCAGTTCCATCCAGCTTCCTGCTGATACATCCTGGAAAGCTGCGGAGGACAGCCCAAGTGCTTGAGCGCCGGCACCCACCGTGGAGATGGATGAGGTTCCTGACTTTGACCTGGCCCAACCCCGACTGTCGGGGCCATTCTGGAGAGTGAACCAGCAGGTGGGGGATCCCTCTCTCTGCTTCTCCTCCTCTCTCTGCTTCTCCTCCTCTCTCTGCAAGTCTGCCTTTCCAATGAAAATAGATAAATGGTGTGCGCTGGTGTGTGTGAGAGAGAGAAAGGAAAACGCAAGATGTCTGGGCCTAAAAGAAACAGAAGGGAAAACCACTCTAACATAATTCACACTTCACCAAGCACATGGTGGACTGGGAGGAGAGAGATCTTCCATCTGCTGACCCACTCTCCGAATCGTGCAGGACCGTGTCGGGAGCCAGGAGCAGGAGCTTCTTCCAAGTCTCCTACAGGTAAGCTTACAGGAGACTGGGCCGTGCTCTGCGGCTTTCCCGGGCGCGTTGGCAGGGAGCCGGATGGGAAGTGGAGCAGCTGGAATTGAACTGCAGGCTGTGGCTGAACCCACCATGGCCTGGAGTGTTGCCCAGATAAGCCCAGCCCACACTGTGAATGAAGGACTCCCGGGCGCGCCGCAGCTGCAATACCAACTTGGTTTGCCTGAGTGGCAGCTGACTGCTTCTCTGTGGGAAGACCTCACCCCTGCGGAGTGAGCAGCCTGCAGGAATGGCATTGTAACACAAGGCAACAGTGTCTCAGTGTCACTGCCTTTATTAAGCACCAGGGGTTAGGTCTGGGCAGGTGCGAGGTCTGGGGGTTCAGGGGCTGTGGGGTGAATGGAGACACAGGTGAGCGTGAGTCTGGAGCCAGCCAGTGAGGTCACGCAGGTCAGGGTCGGGCCTGGCGTCAAGCTCAGTGGGTGTAAATCGTTCTTTGGATCCAGCTGATGTATCTGCAGACATCAGTGTAGACGCCTGGCTTCTCCTTGGAGCCGCAGGGGACGTTCCCCCAGGACACAAGGCCTCGGAGGTGGTCTCCGCACACCAGCGGGCCTCCGGAGTCGCCCTGCGGGAGAGACGAGGCAGTTGGGACTCTGCAGCCCTGTCCCCTTCCCCATCTTGGCCGGCCACGTGGGAGCGCCGGGCAGAGGGCTTTGGGCTGGCTCAACCTCAGGCACTGTGGGCATCTGTGGCGTGCACCGCAGCTGGACTCTCTCTGGACCCTGCGAGGCCCGGCTGCCTCACCTGGCAGGAGTCCCTGCCGAACTTCTTGTCGCCCGCACACACCATGTTCCGGGTGATCTGGCCGGGGTAGGCGCGCTGGCACTCGTCATGGGGCACCAGGTGGATGTAGGCACACTGTATGGTATCGGGGAAGTTGCCTGGCAGGGGAGAGATGGCCCGCTCTCACCCCAAGCCTTCCTGTACCCCCGGCTGGCAGCCCTCCACCCTGTCCGTCTTTGGCTCACTCCTCTGTCCCCCCACTTTTTCTGTCTTTGTTGGCACCCATGCCCATCATTCCTGCTTCCTGATTGGTTCTCTTCCTTCATCACATCCTCTTCCACGAGCTCCTGTTTCTGTTGACTTTCCTTCTCTCTGAGGCCCTGTCTCTATCCGTCTCTCTGGCTGTCGTCCCTCTGTACCTGCCCCGCCGCTGAACTCTTCTTGCCCATTGGTCCATTCTGAGGGACAGACATGCTCCTCTCCTAGCTGGCCCCTTCCTCCCCTCCTTCCTGGCTCTGCATCCAGGTGGCCACTTGTCCCTTCCTGCTGGCCCACTGGGCTCCATCTGCTCCCAGTAGCTCTGCCCCATCTGCCATCCCCTTGATCCTCCTTGCAGCTGCCCGGGTACCCCCCGACTCGTGGGTCTCCTTCCTGGCTGGCCTCCCCTTGTCCCTGACCCTTCAAGGTCTTCCCAGTCCCTGTCCAAACTCTTCTTTCTCCCTTGGCTGTGAGCTCATGATCCCAACTCCCAAACTCGCCTTCCCAGCCTCTCGCCTCTCACTCTGTCACCCTTGGTCCGCAGCCCCATTCCCCTCCCCGCAGCCTGCCTCCCTCAAATTGTTCTCCTGAGCTGACCGTCGGCTGTCTTGCCCCAGCCCAGGATGTGGCAGCTGCTGGGCCCCTCCGTGCAGTTCCTCTGCAGGGGCAGGGGCTGGATGTGCTCGGAGAGCCGGGCGGGCTGCGCCAGGCGTAGCAGCATGATGTCCTGGTCGTGGGTGGCGGCGTTGTAACCCGGGTGGACCACCATCCGGACGACGGGGTTCTGCTCCTGGGAACTCTCCCTCTGCTGGAGGTTGTGCTTGCCCAGGAACACCTGCAGCTTCCTGGGGAGGAGGAGGAAGAGGAGGAGGAAAGCTTGGGCTTGTTGGCCTTTTGCGGATCTGACTGCCGACCCCCTTCCAGTTTCTGCTCCACATGGTCCATTTAGGTGGCCCCCAGACTCAGGTGGCTCCGGGGTACCTGAACCCCATGTGTTCAGCTGTAGGCGGCTGATGGGACAGTGGGGGGTCAAGGTAGCAAATTCTGCTCTACTCCGGCACATGCCAGCTGTTCACAAATGTTTCCGACACCCGTGGGGCACTCAGAGCACCCCCAGACTTCCCGTGGTCCCCCAGCCCCAGCTCTGGAACCCCAAGAGGCCAGGCTCCACCAGCGTCGCTGTGACCTGGAAGCCTTCTTAGCAGGCTCAAGACCTCAGGTGCTGCTGCCCTCGGTGGGGGTGCTTGGCTGCTGCACCCCCTCTGCCTCGCAAGCTCCTTGCCCTCCCTGTCTGGATTCCGCCTCTTGCTCTGGCTCCTTCCCCTCACTTGCCTCCTGCCCCCTTGCTTAGGCCTTTTTTGCAAAGTCCTGCCTGACCTTCCTCTCTCTCAGATGTCAGCTCCCTTGTTCCTCCCCTTATTGGGTGATCTGCAAGTGTGTGTGTAGGGGGGCAGTGTCTTCAAGGTCCCTGCCCCAGTGAGTGGTCACTGCCCAGCTCGGCTCCGGCTCGGCGTGGGTTCACTCAGTCACTGGGCATCCTCACTGAGTGGTGAGGATGATGGTGGCGGTTGCAGGAGGGGACCCCTAGGACTTTCTGAACTTGGAGATCAGCCTGAGGGTCCTGGGGTCCTCACCAAGGGGTGGCACCCATCGCGGTCTCCAGACCCTAGCCTTGTATCCTTTGTCCAAGAGGCCCTTACTGTGGGAGACGGGGATTGGACGGCCGGCACGGAGACTGCTTCACTCAGTACCAATCACGGCAGTGCCCGCGGGTGGTGCCCTGGGGCTCACCCAGTCCCTGTTCACTCACGATGACTTCCAGCATGCCCTCCCCACCCCGCCAGGCATCTCTGCCTGGACATCTTCCCAGGGCGAAGTTCATGGGGCCGGCATGCAGTGTCCCATGCTGTCCTCTGCAGACTCAGCCTCCCGGCCCTTCTGCCTGCTTAGGCTCAAAATAGCCCCTCGGTTCTGCTGCCATCAGCCTGGCCAGAGCGGTGGCCACAGCTCTGCAAGGCTCTGCCTTCACCTGCTTTGCCTCTGGCCACTTCCCACATAGCAGCCAGGGGCTCTTAAGCATGGAAATAAGTGGGTTTGCTGCCTGCATGGCCAGCATCCCGTCTGGGTACCGGTTTGAGTCCCGGCTGCTCCACTTCTGATCCATCTCCCTTCCTGGGACCTAGGGAAACAGTAGAGGATGGCTCAAGGCCTGGAATTGCTGTACCCATGAGGGAGGCCCGGACGGAGTTCCGGGCTCCTGGCTCTGGCCTGGTCCAGCCCTGGCTTTGGCAGCTATCTGGAGAGTGACCCATCGATGGCAGAGCTATCTCTCTGTTTCCTCCCTTCTCTCTGAGACTCTGACTTTCAAAATTAATGAATGAGTCCTTGAAAAGGGGAGTGGGTGAGAAGAGTGGAAATCGCTGATACTGCTGCCTTAAGTTAAAGCTTGCAGTGGTTAGAATCCAACACCAAGTCTTACCTTGTCCCACGACGCTAGGGGACCTGATTCCCTCAGGAAAGAAGCTCGTAAAAAGAGCCACTTGCGTCTCTCTCTGCCTTCCCTTGCCATGTCCCCAGGGCCTGGCGTGTACTTAGTACTTAGCACTGGCCAAATGAGCACGGTGATCGCATGGCTTCTGCTGGGGCTGGGGCGGGAGGACCGTGTGTGTGGCACCTGCCCCCTGGGACTCTGACCACATGGTGGAGTTGAGGGCAGAGAAGAGGCAGCTGCTGCCTGGGCCTAACAGTACCACTGGCTGCTGTTGGCGGGGCGTGGGGACTCACTGTTTCCTGCAGTGGGCCGCCGTGAGCACCCACTGTGGGTGGATGAGGACACCGCCGCAGAGCAAGTGGCCGGAGGTGTAGAGTGCCGCCTGGTAGGGGTGTGACGTGTTCTCGCAGGGCCCACCGTGCACCACCTTGTCCTGCTCCTCGGCCCAGGCTGAGGGAGATGAGGTCTGGATCAGGGGGGTTCAGCCCCCAGGGGCTAGTCCCGACGGAGACCCGCTCATTCTCCCACTGATGAACCTCACCCACCCAGCCCGGTGCCCAGGTGTCCATCAGCAGTCCTGTCTGAGGTCCCCCCTCCCCCAGCCTGTTCCCTGTGCACCTGCAGCCAGGACGATCAGCACCACTGCCAGCTTCATGGCCGCGCCTGCAGGGGGAAAGGGGGGACATGAGCCTGCAGGTCGTCTCCCCAGAGATGGCTCCCTCCTCCCCTCTCCTCGCCTTGATCCTGCCGGTCCGGCCACCTCAGCCCCTTCTGTTGAAGGTCAGGTGCAGGAGGGAAGCCTGGAGCTCCGGTGTGTATGCCGGAGCCTGCAGTGCGGCTCTGAGCCAGGCCTGCTGCAGCAGCTGGAGGCAACCCTTCGCCCTCTCCAGGGACCCCTGCCCTGCGTCTTGGCTCTGTGCCCACTTTCCCCTGCCTGTGGGCTCCCTTACCTGCTGGCCTCAGGGGCTCTGGGTGGGGTGAGAAGGGGCAGAGTCGGCTCTGCTCTGCACACACAGGGAGTCAGCCCGGGCAGGGCTGCAGCAAATGCTCCCTCCTGCGGCGGCCTCCCGGGAAGAGGCTGCCGTGGCCCCAGCTCTCCTGGCGCTGCCTTTTAACCCTTGTATCCCCAAGTCCCTGAGCCAGGAGGCTGCTCCACCCTCTTCCTCCTCATCCCAGCCTCCCACACACACATTCCTCCTCCCCCACGCCTTCTCCTGCTGACCCCTGACCCGATCCAGGAAGAGAGCTCAGCCCCTGGGGACCCAGGCTGCTGGTCTGAGGGAGGAGGGGGCTGGGCTGGACCCCTGGGTGTAAGGGAGGAGGGGCTGGGCTGCACCCCTGGGTGTGAGGCAGGAGGGGCTGAACCCTGGTGTGAGGGAGGAGGGTCTGGGCTGGACCCCTGGGTGTAAGGGAGGAGGGGTTGGACCCCTGGGTGTGAGGGAGGAGGGGTTGGACCCCTGGGTGTGAGGGAGGAGGGGCTGGGCTGGACCCCTGTTCGGGGGAGCGGGGGCTGGGGTTGGGTGTGAGGCAGAAACTGAAGGTGGGCCCTTCCTTCCTGCTCTGCAGCCCAGCCATCCACGGAGCAGTTATCTTGACCCTGTCCCCACCCCCTCCCCAGGCACGACCAGCGGCCCAGGCCGGGTGCTCAGGCGGCCGCCCCAGGTCAGAGGGGTTGGAGTGACTCACCTACGCGTCAGTCCCTCCGTGGGTGCTGCAAACCCTGTGCCCAGGAGACCGCAAGCAGCCGGCCAGGGAGCGCAGCCCGCCGCCCCGCCCCGGCTCCCGGGGGAGGGGGCCTGCACAATCGCGCTTTGTGCGCCCGGGCACCTCGTGCCATGCCCGCCCGCCTGCCCCCCACCCCCGCCTGCCTGCTCTCTTTCTCAAGGTCTCTTCCCGGCACTGCGGGTGCCGCCCTGCCCCAGCGCCCCTTAGTCCCGTGTGAGTGGCACCTCTTGGGAGCTTAACCTGCCCCGTCCCTGTCCCCCAAGTTGTCCCCCACCCCGGGGAGCTCTTCAGCTCCATGTGCAGTCCTGCGAGGGCTGGGGACACAGGTGCACACAGGTGCCCTGTGCCTTCCAGAGGGAGCTGATGGGTGGGTCGGGGAGGGGGCTGCCTGGAAGCTACCAGATGGGGAGGGGCCAGCCTGGGACTGGCCAGGAGGAGGCACGTGAAGCCCCTGCCCCAAGCATGGGGCAGGGGGCGGGAGGATGGGAGCACTGGGTGCTGAGGCATGGGGCATGGTGAGGTTGGGGTTGTTCTGGTCACAGGGCAGGCAAAGGCAGCTGGGGTCCCACATGACCGTGAACCTGGCCTGTCCCAGCATTGCACCAGGGCCTCAGATGGCTGATCCCCTCCCTGTCAGTCACTGGATGATGGTCAAGGGGGACCTTCCACCAGTGCCCCCTAAGCCTGGTCCCACTGCATCCCCAACTCAGGCCTGCTGTTTCCCACCTGACCCTCGCCATTCCCTCCCCTAGCTCCCAACTCCTCCCCCCCACAGCCTCCTCCTGGGATCCCAACCTTCAGCAGGGACACAGGACCATGCCCATGTCCACATTCCCACTGATGTTTTGTGGTAGTTGCCATTCCTTTTTTTGTTGTTGTTGTTTTGTTTTTTAAGATTTATTTTTATTGGAAAAGCAGATATACAGAGAAGAGAGACAGAGGGAAAAATTTTCCACCTGCTGATTCACTCCCCAAGTGGTCGCAACAGCTGGAGCTGAGCCAATCTGAAGCGAGGAGCCAGGAGCCTCTTCTGGGTCTCCCATGCAGGTGCAGGGTCCCAAGACCTTGGGCCGTCTTTGACTGCTTTCCCAGGCCACAAGCAGGGAGCTGGATGGGAAGCTGGGCCACAGACTGGCCTCCATACGGGATCCTAGTGTGTAAGAGGCAGGGACTTTAGCCACTAGGCTACCGTGCTGGACCTGCCATTCTTAAAGCAGGTCAATTTCCACTATTTATATACCACACACAGAGACAAAATCATCTGAGGTCATGTGTTTGTAAATAGCTGGGTTTTGCCATTTCACCATGTAGATACCCATAGAATGGGACTTCACAAAGTTCCTGGTCAAATGGGATTAAAGTGTGAGCAGGCACCTTGGCACAGCAGGTTAAGCCTCTGTGATACCAGCATTCCATTTGGGTGCTGGTTCGAGTCCTGGCTGTTCCACTTCTCATCCATTTCCCTGCTAATGAGTAGGGGCAGCAGCAGAGGACGGCGGGGGTCTTGGGCCCCTTCCCCCATGTGGGAGACCTGGAAGAGGCTCCTGGCTCCTGCCTTTGGGTCAGCTCAGCTTTGGTCACTGCAGCCGTTTGAGGAGTGAACCAGTGGATGAGAGATTCTCTGTCTTTCCTTATCTCTCTATTATAACTCGGCCTTTCAGATAACCGAAAAAAAAAAATTAGAAAAAGGTAAGTTTATTTGATGGTGAAAGAATTGAAATCCTGATGTATAGTTTTCCACAAACTGTTTTTTTAAATGTAAGGCAGAGCGAGAGAGAGATTTTCCACCTGCTGATTTGTTCCCCAAATGGCTGAAATGGGCAGGGTTGAACTAGGTGGAAGCCAGGAGCTGGGAGCTTCTTCTGGTCTCCCTCTTGGGTGCTGGGTCCCATGGCTCTCAGTCTCCCCCTTGGGTGCTGGGTCCCATGGCTCTCAGTCTCCCCCTTGGGTGCTGGGTCCCATGACACTCAGTCACCTGCTGCTGCTTTCCCAGGTGCATCAGCAGGGTGCTGGACCAGAGTGCAGTTCACCCTGTAACACGGGGGCAGGTGTCCTAGTCAGTGGCTCCACCTATTGCCCCACACCTTTCTGGAGGATGCAGGTACTTGTTTTAGCAGAGAAGGTGGTGGTGGTGGTGGTGAGGAGGGTGAGGGAGAAGCAGCAGGAAGGTGGGCTCCAGTGCTTTGCTGAGTGCCATGCCCCCAGGATGCTGTGGGCAGAAGTGAGGGAGACAGGAACGGGCATTAGGACGGATGCTCTCAGGCTGCTTGGGAGCCCCCTCCCTCCACCAGGGTTCCCGGGCTGGAGTCCTGGCTCCGTTCCCAACACCAAGCTTCCTGCCAGGACACACCCCAGGAAGCAACTGGAGGTGACTCAGGTGCCTGCCTTATGGGAGAGTCCCCGGCTACCCAACTTCCCAGCTCTGGTCTGGGCCTGATGCCAGCTGCAGGGGGCCTTGGGGAGGGCAAGCTGGGGACAGAGGGTCTCTCCCTCTCTCTCCCTTCCACATCTCTCCGCCTCTCATTGCTGCCTGATGCTCAGTGAGTTGAGCTTTTGGAAGAATTTGCCCTCATGTGCACCTGTTTGTCTGTAGGGACCAGCCTGTCTCCCGCCAACAGGAGGAGCCCGGGGCGGCTCTACCCAGCTACCCGTGTTCTCCAGCCCCCACTTCACATTGCCCTGCACCCCCGTCTGTGCCCTGGGCCTCGGGGTCACTCACCCCAGAGGCCACCTCTCCTTAGCATGCCCTTCCCACCCTTTCCTGCCAGCAACTACCTGTCCTTCAGGTCTCAGTTGAGACAGTCGCCTCCTCCGGGATGCCTTCCCTGAACACCACCCCACCTGTGCCTTGCTGCTGTAGGCTTAGTAACTCCCTCCTCATGTGGGCTCCCACGGCAGGCGCCTCCCTCAGGTCACCCTACGTGGGTGGCGGGGGCATGGAGATGGCACCTATCTCCTCTGCTGGGGACGGGGGGGGGGGGCGGGGGACCTGGTGCCCTCCTGCTGTCCCTGAGGGCACGGGCTGGGCTGACTCATCCCTGATCCGCACAGGACCTGTGAGTTATTCCTGGTTTCCAGAGGATAGGAGCAGAGTTCAGCCAACTAGGCAGCACAGCACTTAAGGTCAGCCCCCTGCCCCAGGGAGCGGCGGGGCTGAGCTGGGCCTCGGGGCTGTGACCCCACAGAGCTGCCCCACAGCAGCACCAGGCACGCAGGTGCAGGGGGAGAGCTGGGAGGCCACGTGGAGGAGGAGGGAGGAGGGAGGCGTGGGGAACAGAGTGGCTCCTCCTTGCTCTTCCTCCTCCTAGACACCCTCCCTGCAGCTTTTATTGATTTTTAAAGGTGTATCTTATTTATTTGTTTATAAAAACAAAGTTACGGGCCTGGCATGATGGCTCAGTTGGCTAACCCTCTACCTCCTCAAGCTCCAGCGTCCCATATAGGCTGTGTTTGGGGTGTCTCAGCTGTTCCACTTCTCATCCAAAGCCTTGAGACCCTGCACCCACATAGGAGACCAAGAAGAAGTTCCTGGCTCCTGGCTTTGGATCAGCTCAGCTCTGGCAGTTGCAGCTACATGGGGAGTGAACCAGCAGATGGAAGATCTTCCTGTCTTTCTTTCTCAATCTACCTTAAAAAAAAAAAAAGATAAAAACACAGTTACAGAAAGATAGAGAGAGAGCATGCCCAGTGGTCAGAGCTGAACTGAGCTAAAGCCAAGAAGCAGGAACTTCTGCTGGTCTTCCACGTGGGCTCAGGGCACAAGGTGCTGGGCCGTCCTCGATTGCAGGGAGCTGGATGGGAAGTGGAGCAGCCAGGACACACACCGGCGCCCACATGGGAGGCCACTGCACGCAGGGGAAGATTTTAGCCGACTGAGCCGTCACACGGAGCCCAAGACATTTTTCACTGGAACCGTCTTTTCATTTACTCCACAGTCAGAGCCGCAGCGCTGGAGGGCAGGAGCTTCCGGGCACATGATGTCCCGGGGCACCTGTTCATGGAGACCCTGTCTCATTTCTGGATGTCTTTGTCCACTCTCCAGGAGCGTCTCCAGTAGGGAAACCGCTTTGCAGGCAAGTTTCGTGAGCATAGGAGTGGGAAAAGCACCGGGCGGCCTGGGGCTGGCCTGAGTCGGACGCTACACATGCACTCTGCAGCTCACCTCCGGTCCTGGAGCTGCCTGTAGGAGGTGCCACCTCGGGGCTACCTCAGGATGAGGGCAGGGGCATGAGGGACAAGCAGGTGGCAGCAGTGGGAGGGACTGCGCGTTCCAGAGCCCAGTGCTCCTGCATAGTTCCTGGGATAAATGCAGTGGCCACCTTAAGTTCTTGCACACGGGAGGACCTTAAATCCCTGCACACAGTCCTACTTGCAGCTCTCCCCCTACCCCGAGCTGAGGCCAGGGGGCGCTATCACAATCTAGTTCAGTAACAATGGTTATCTGATTACATTTTGGATTGAATATTGACTTGGTAAGCAAGGGAGACTTGATGGAGCTTCTTGGAGAAGGGTAGACAAAAGCCCTCAGCCATCTTTGAGTGGACACAGGCTGTGAGACAGAAGGCAATAGGGGCTGGACCCCTGGGTGTGAGGGAGGAGGGGCTGGGCTGGACCCCTGGGTGTGAGGGAGGAGGGGCTGGGCTGGACCCCTGTGTGTGAGGGAGGAGTTTGTGGCTGCACCTCTGTGTGTGAGGGAAGCGGGTGGATCCCTATGTGTCCCCGATGGGCTTCAGGTGGGCTCAGTGCTGCTGGCTGCAAGTCAGTGTCGGCCAGTGAGGAGGGCCGGGAGGGAGACGCAGGGGTGGGGGAGGCTGTGGAGGCTGTGCGTGGGGAGACAGGAGGATCAGGCACTGGGCGCAGCCCTACCGGTCAGTGGCCAGCACCGTGTGAGGTGTGACTGCTTCGGGAATCCTTGATGGCTGGAGGCTGCTGGTGGGTTGGGCCCTGAGTCATGGGGACTCCCCCTTTCCACAGCAAGCCCTTTGCCTGCCTTTTGGGGTACAGGAGCCCACCCAGGTTCCCAGTCAGCGGCAGGGTGGGCAGGGTGAGACCAGCGACCTGTGCACCTATGACCAACCATCTCACTAATTTTATTCTGCAGGCGTCTGACTTCATGCCGACAGGATCACACACACACACGTTTCATTGTGTGTCCCTCTTTGCACACCTTGGTAGAAACAGCCCCCTGTTAACTCTACCCCCTTTGCCCTGGGACACGGAATAGCACGCCAGATTCTCGGGGAACACGCCACCCCGGGGCACTTGGGCTGTGCGTCCACTTTTCTTTCCCCTGGGATAAAGAATGTTCCGATGCAGCCAGCTTTGCTCCACACGTTCATATTTTATTTTTAGTACTTCCTCCGGGACTGGAGGAAGGAATGCCGAGTCCGAGTCCCTGGGCTGCGTGTGCTGTTCTAGCTGTGCCTCCAGCAGCCCTGACGTTTTGGCGTCTTTCTGCTTGTTTCCGGTTTGGGGGGCTCCATCTGTCAATGGACGTCTGAAGGGTCTACCCTGGCTTGGAGAGGCGGGACGTGGGGAGTGCCATCCCCCGCCTCCGAGGTCCTCCTGTGGACATGGCGTCTGCAGGATGCGCTGCTTTGCTGCTCGGCGGGGACTAGCGGTGCATCCTCATGGTCCTGTGGATCCAGTCGGTGAACTTGCACACTTCAGTGTAGACGCCTGGGTCGTTGGGCTGGCCGCACGGGAACGTTCCCCAAGACACCAAACCTTGTAGAGTGCCTTTGCACACCAAAGGTCCCCCCGAGTCACCCTGGAGAACAAGCGGGGAGGGGGGGGTGAGCGCCTACCCGGGCTAATCTTTCCCTGCCACTGTCTAAGCAATGCTGGGCCGGGGACTCCCACGCTGGCCAATGAGGACAGACTCATTGTCTCTGGGGACCGATGGGAGAGCAGGAGTGAGTGCTGTTATTCATGGGACAAACCCGTTCTTGGTACAGCCAGCAGCTGGGACCTGATGCAGAAGCCTAGTGGCCAAAGTCCTTGCCTTGCACGCACCATGATCCCATATGGGCACCGGTTCTAGTCCCAACTGCTCTACTTCCCATCCAGCTTCCCGCCTGTGCCCTGGGAAAGCAGTCGAGGACGGCCCAGCGCCTTGGGACCCTGCACTCGTGTGGGAGACCCAGAAGAAGCTCGTGGCTCCTGGCACTGGATCGGCTCAGCTCTGGCCATTGCAGTCACTTGGGCAGTGAATCAGTGGACAGATGATCTTTCTCTCTGTCTCTCCTCCTTTCTGTATATCTGATTTTCTGATAAAATTAAATAAATTTTAAAAAGAAGCGGAGCAGCTGGACTAACACGCATGTGGGAGACCAGTGCCGCAGGAAGAAGTGCCGACACCTCATTATTATTTTTTTTTTTGAAATGCTGCCTTTGGGGGCTGTGGCACAGCATGTTAGGCTGCTGCCTGTGGTACTGGATGCCATATCAGAACAGGGGATCTAATCTGGGCTGCTCCACTTCTGACACAGCTCCCTACAAATGTGCCTGAGAAAGCAATGGAGGATGGCTCACGTGCTTGGACCCCTCCGCATACACGTGGGAGAGCTGGAAGAGGCTACTGGCTGGCCACTGCAGCCATCTGGGAACGGGACCAGTGGATGGAAGACCTCCCTCTCTGTCTCTTCCTGTCTCTCTCTAATTCTGCCTAGCAAATAAGTAAAACAAGTCTTAAATACTGCACGGACTGGTGCAATGGCTCAACTGGCTAATCCTCTGCCTGCAAGTTGCGGCAACCCATTCAGGTGCCGGTTTGGTGTCGTGGCTATTTGGGGAGTGAATTAGCAAATGGAAGCTCTTTCTCTGTCTCTCCTCTTTGCAAATCTGCTTTTCCAATAAATAAATAAATCTCCTTTTTAAAGGCTGTGATCCACCCAGATCATGAGCGAGCCCCTGTGCTTCCCTAGCCCATCCCATCTTTCTCAGATCTCTTCGCCCCAGGCCCCTCAGGTGCCCGGGAGGGGGCTCACGTTGCAGGCGTTGGTCTTGGAGTCTGGGATGCCAGCACACAGCATGGATTTGCCCAGCAGGTCCTTGTACACCTTCTTGCAGTCCTCGAAGGAGACGAGGTTGACGTCTGTGCACATGAGCTGCGTCGGGAAGGTCACTGTGGGGAGGTGGGGTGGACAGCCCCTGGTCAGACGCCTGGCCTGCTGCAGCCCGAGCTCCCGACGGGGGTGGGCAGAGTGACAGGACCAGGAAGGGGCAAGACCGGAGGGAGGAGGGGCCCCAGGTTTGAGGAATGAGGGTCTAGACCCCTGGGTGTGAGGGAGGAGGGGCTGGGCTGCACCCCTGGTCTGAGGGCCCGCCGTCTGGGCGGCTCCGCGGGCGGGGCAGCCTCACCGTCCGGGCTGGTGGTCGTGCCCCAGCCGGACACGGTGCACTTGGTCCCCGGGCGCTCGCAGCGGGTGGGCAGCGTGACCTTGCGCACGCTCTGGGACAGGCGCGCGCGGCTGTTGAGCTTCACGAGCATGATGTCGTTGACGTGGGTCTGCGTGGAGTAGCCGGGGTGGCGGAAGGAGCGCGAGGCCTTGATTTTCTGCGCGTTCCTGTCGTTCAGCTTGTCGCTGCCCAGGTGCACGGTGTACTCACTGCGGGGAGGGAGCGGCCATCAGAGAGAGAGGAGAGAGAGTGCGAGCCGAGCGAGGGCGCGCGGACCGGCGGGCGCTGGGGAGAGGCGGGCGCTGGGGAGGGGTGGGGGTGGCGGGCACGACCCGGGGTGCAGAGCCCACCTCATCTTACAATGGGCGGCCGTGAGCACCCAGCGCTCGTTCAGCAGGACGCCTCCGCAGTGGAGCTGCGAGCCGCTGAGCAGGGCCACTTGCCACGGATGCGAGCCCCGCTGGCAGGGGACCCCTTCGATGATCTTGTCGCCTCCGCTCTTGTCGCCTTGGGCTGCAGAGGCAAGCGTGGAGAGACGTGTGGGGGTCGGGGCGGGCTGAGGGTGTGGGGGAGCCCCTCAGAGACCACGAGAAGGAGGGAGGGCCAGAGAGGCAGAGATGCGGCTGTGTGTGTGTGTGTGTGTGTGTGTGTGTGTATACACACGCGCGCGCGTGCGCGCGCGCTGTATGGGAGGGTGGGGATGAGGTCAGGGCGGGCTCGGGAGGGGAGAAGAGGCTGGACAGAGGGTGGAGGATGCGAAGATGGAGCTGGGGGGACATCTGAGGTGGGGGTGCAGGACTCCCCAGAGCCACAGGGGCTGATGAGCTCTGAGTACAAAGTTTCAGAGTTCCAATGCCAGCTGCACTTCCCAAACACCTGCGCCATCTGGGTCTGGGAGCCCCAGGGAGTGTGGGACTCCATCAGGGCCTCCCACAAGGGCAGCAGGGACTCGCGTCCTGGCGCCATCCTCCGCTGACTTGGCAGGATGCCTACCTGGGCAATCCAAGCAGTGGCTTCCCCAGCGCCCACAGAGTCCACAGTGTCCGCAGAGCCTTCCTATCAGCTGGCTCACCTCTCAGATGCTCACGGCTCTCAGGGCTGGAGCCAAGGGCTCCATCCAGGTCCCACACTTGGGGTGGCAGGAACCCAAGTCCTAGAGCCACCTGCTGCCGCCTCCAGGGTGTGCACGAGCTGGGAGCCGGAATCCCAGGTGTGCCACCCAGGGCTGCAGGCATCCCAAGCTGACTGCAACCACCATGCCACCTGGCTCTCCCAGGGCACATGTGTCTGACTCAAGGACTCCTTGCAAAGGTCAGTGTGGATGCCTTCCAACCTCGCACTCACCTTGGGCAGCAGAGCCTAGGCCTGAGGCCAGCAGCAACAGTAGCAGCACTGGCGGGAGCGGGTGACCCGCCATGGTGTCCCTGAGCCTCTCGGGGGTGGCCAGTGAGCTGGGGTGGAAAAAGGGTCCAGTGAGCTGGAGTCCAGCCTGGCCCTCCTCCCTCACACCCAGGGGTCCAGCCCTCCTCCCTCACACCCAGCGGTCCAGCCCCCCAGCACCCCTGCGCACCCAGGAGTGCAGGTGCAGGGACCCAGGTTCCCATCCTTCTCCCAATGGAACCTGTAAGTCTGGATTTGCAGTGTCTCCCCCCTCACAAGGGACACTCCACATCTCAGGCCTGCAGCTCCTCCTCTCTCTGCATCAAGGACCCAGTCCCGCGCTCCGCCCTCCAACTGCTTGCAAGCAGGGGTCCACTGTGCAGCCCATTTTAGCCCTGTCTTTCCCACCACCGCGGGGACTCACCGTGCGAGTGAGGGTCGGATCAGGCCTGCTCCGCGGACTCGGGAGGGAGCCGGCGGCGTCTGTGAGCCTTCGGCTGGGCTGTTCTCTTATAGCGCCCCCGCCCGCACGCCCGCCCCCGCGCCCCGGGAGCAGGCGGGGCCGGCTGCTGGCTGCTGGCTGGCTCGCCTGGGGACGCCCCCTCCTTGCCTCTGCAGCTGTGATCTGGATTCCCAGAGGCAGCCGAGCCAGGGGCCCCGCACCGCCCTTCTCCCCAGAGCCGGGTGGGGCGGGCGGGATCCCGGCGTTTGCCCCCCGCACATTCTGGACGCCCTGGCCCTCAGCACCTGCGGTCGCCGGTCCAGCCTGCTGATGCGGGAGGGACCGGGCGCGCCAGTTGCTATGGGGAGGATCCTCCTCTGAGGACACTTTTGGGTCCTGGACACAAGAGCCCCTACCCGAGGAGGCTCATCGGCCAGTCAGAATTGCCCAGGCTGAAGAATGGTCTGTCCCCGAGTCTGAACTTGTTCCCATCTTAAGATGAGAAAAATCAGGAGGGCGCTTTCTCTAAGTGCACCTGCTGAAGGCTTGCTGCAGCCAGCTTAGTCTCTGTTCTCTTATTCCTTTGTCATACATTTCTTTTAAAGCCTTACATCTTTATTTGAAAGGCAGAGTTGAGGGAGAGAGAGAGAGAGAGAGAGAGAGAGAGAGAGAGAGAGATTCTATCTGATGGTTCACTTCCCATGGGGCTGGGCTGGTTGAAGTCAGGATCCAGGGGCTTCCTCTGGGTCTCCCAGGTGGGTGCAGGGGTCATCTGCTGCTTTCCCAGGCACGTGATCAGGGAGCTGGGCTGGAAGTGGAGCAGCCAGGACTTCCAGCCCCATGGGATGCCGCAGCACCCTGCTTCATGGAGGTGTCCCACACGGGTCTCTCCCAACACACCCCCTACTGTACATTGTCCACGGAAACCCTTCAAAGTGCCCTGTATCTATGGCACTTGTCCCATCCTTTATGATGGTCACGGACTATTCCACTGCACTACTGCTTGTGGCGTACAGAGTGTGTGTTCAATGGACCTTATTGAAGCTTGCTTGGGTTGTTAAAATTTATTTAATTTTTATCAGGAAGGCAGATTTACAGAGAGATGAAGAGACAGAAAGATTGTCCATCTGCTGGCTCACTCCCCAAAGCCAGAGCTGAATTCGACCAAAGCCAGGAGCCAGGAGCCTCTTCCGGGTCTCCAGTGTGGATGCAGGGTCCCAAGGCTTTGGGCCGTTCTGGACTACTTTCCCAGGCCACAAGCAGGGAGCTGGATGGGAAATGGAGCAGCTAGGTGGGACATGAACTGCAGCCCATGTGGGACGCTGGTGCTTGGAGGTGGAAGATCAGCTGGTTGAGCTGTGGTGCTGGCCTGCTTGGGGTATTTTAATTACAATATGCCAGGTGAGCCTGTTTGTTCATGGGGTGTGGGTATTCATGCACAAACTATTGGGGCTGGGGAGCTGGGCTCACACTTGGACCAAAGCCTGAGCCGCCTTCCTGGGTGGGGGTGCTGGGCCGATGAGTACGGAGCACCAGTGTGGACACTGTGGACGCAGCGAGTGAGGGGGCGTGAGAGCAGCATCTTGAAGGAAGAGAGGGAGGGAGCCTGTGGCTTCTAGGGGCGATGACTCCAGGAGAGAGTCAGGCCTGGGGCCCGCCCAGCAGGAAGCACAGGGGTGAATGAGGCAAGGGACCAGGGGGTGGGCGGGAGGAGAGGCCAGGGCTGTGTTGGACTCAGATGACCTTGAGCCTCAGATGTTGAACTCACCGTCCACTTCCTTCCTGAGTCCTGAAAGTGGAATGGGCTTCGCTTTCTAAATGAGACTTTAAAAATAAAATAGATGGTTGTTCTCTCCATCATCTCACACCCGCCCGGAGCTGGTTCTGGGATCCCATGAGAGACGTGACAGCTACTGCCCACCCTTGGCCCTGGCTGTCCCCGGGAAGCCCGGCGTGGACCGGTGATGTCAGGGGCACCCTGGGCCCAAATTCCTTCCCCTCAAGGACACAAGGGGCAGGGCGGGTGGGGGCAGAGCTCACTTTGTTGTTGCTGCCATGGGAAAGGGTGGGGGCGGGGTTCCTCTGGGTGGAGAATTGGAGCTTTGGCAGCTGTGGTGAGACCAGGGCAGGAAGCAGTGAGTGGACCAAGCCCAAGTGGCCAGAGCAGGACGCACAGACCAGGTGGGCATGAGCTGGGTCGCTGAGTGGGGAGTGCACACCTTCACTTGAGATTCTTTTTCAGGGTTCTTGTCTAACTTGGGGTCCTTCTAACCAGAATCCTCGTCCGTAAGACCTCCACACTGAATCCAAGGCAGGTCCCAGAGTCACACAGAGAAAGAGACATCTTCCATCCGCCCATTACTCCCCCAGGGGCTGCGATGGTGGAAGTCGGGTCAGGCTGAGGTCGGGACCTCCATCCGGGTCTCCCACGTGAGCACGGAAGCCCAAACACTTGGACCAAACTCTGCCATCTTCCAAGTACGTTAACAAGGAGCCGGATCGGAAGTGGACAGTCAGGGGGTGAACCAGTGCCTCCAGGGGATGCTGGCAGCACAGGCCACACTGCCAGCCGCCTCCCCCGAGTCCAATTCTAACTGAAATCTGTATCTTGAAACCACACCAGTTCTGCAGGCTCAGCTGGCACCTTCTTCCAGGTGCTACACGCGCTGGGCATCGGCTGCGTTTCGGGCCAGGCTGGGTGCTGGAGATGCGCTGAAACACAGCTGTGGGCACAGCTCCTCCCTCCACCAGCTGACTCCCAGAAGTCTCCCGTCAGACACAAACAACCCAGTGAAAACAAGTCGTTGGCTCGCAGTGAGAGCAGATGGGCCGGCGGGAAGGAAGGAAGTGGGGCCCGGCACTGTGGCATAGTAGGCTAAGTCTCTACCTGTGGCGCCAACATCCCATACGGGTGCCAGTTCAAGTCCCAGCTGTTCCACTTCCTAGCCATTCCCTGCTTACAGCCTGGGAGAGCAGTGGAGGACAGCTGTAGCAGTACTCTCCCCAAATGGCTGCGACAGCCAGGATCGGGCCAGTCCGAAGCCAGGAGCCAGGAGCTCCATCCGGGTCTCCCATGTCAGTGCACTTGAGCCAACTTGGTTTTCCCAGGTGCTTGAGAAGGGGGCTGGATGGGAAGTGCAGCAGGCGGGACAAGAACCGGCACTCTTATAGGCTTAGAGTCACAGCCAGCATCTTCATCCTACTTTATCTTGTGGCCTGTGGAAGAGCCATTTGGACTTTCATCAGGAGGGAGACACAACAAAATCTGTGTGTGCGTGGATTTTTTTTTAAAGATTTATTTTTTATTATTTTTTCATTGGAAAGGCAGATATACAGAGAGGAGAGACAGAGAGGAAGATCTTCCGTCCGATTATTCACTCCCTAAGTGAGCGCAATGGCCGATGCTATGCCGATCCGAAGCCAGGAGCCTCTTCCAGGTCTCCCACACGGGTTCTGGGTCCCAAAGCTTTGGGCCGTCCTCGACTGCTTTCCCAGGCCACAGGCAGGGAGCTGGAAGGGAAGCGGGGCTGCCGGGATAGAACCGGCGCCCATATGGGATCCCGGGTATGCAAGGTGAGGACCTTAACCACTTGCGCCACCGCGCCGGGCCCGCGTGGATTTTTTTAAAGATTTATTTATTTTTATTGGAAAGTCAGATATACAGAGAGGAGGAGAGATAGAGAGGAAGATCTTCTGTCCTCTGGTTCACTCCCCAAGTGGCTGCGATGGCTAGAGTTGAGCCAATTCAAAGCCTGCAGCCAGAAGCTTCCTCCAGGTCTCCCACGCGGGTGCAGGGTCCCAAGGCTTTGGGCTGTCCTCAACTGCTTTCCCAGGCCACAGGCAGGGAGCTGGATGGGAGTGGGGCAGCTGGGACACAAACTGGTGCCCATATGGGATGCCGTTGCATGCAAGGGAGTATTTAGACACTTGAGCTGCCACGCCGTGCCCATCCACAACTCATCTTGACCCTGATTCAAGCTCAACCCCGAGCCTCCAGCCTCGCATTCAAACTCACCCTTGACCCCAAACCCTGAATGTCCTCGCAGCCTCAGCCCAGACGTGCCTTTAATCTCCCTCCTTGTCTTCTTGCAGGAAGTCCACTGTGCTATTCTCCCCATGACTGTCCCTGACTCACTCTCACCCACAGCCGTGATTCTGCTCCAAATCCCCTCCTCGTGTGCGTCCAGCTCACTCCATTCTTCCAACTCCACAAACAATTCTGAGTGAAAGCCGAATCTGCCCACTCACACCACCCTAACATGCATCCCAGGCTAGCTGCCCTGAGCTAGTCCCCAGCCCTGACCCTCTTATCTGATCTAAAATCAGATGCAGAGGCCTTGCCGGTTCCATGGGGGGTCCCCTTGAAGTGTGTCAGTGTGCCCTCACCCCATGGAGTCAGGGTGTGGACCCCTTCATGTCACAGCTGCTTGACCTAGCGATGCACCTGCTGGGCGTCTGTGTCCTCCGGGCTTCCCAAGGGCAGGAGTTGTGGCGAGACTTCCAGCTTGTTCTCTGCGACCTTGTTATCTCCAGCTCCTGGGGTGCTCTGCCCCCTCAGCATTCCAGGAGGAAAGCCCCACCCCTCACCTCCTAAA